GACAAATTAAGCTTAAAGACAGACCTCTGCACAACAAAATTTTTTCTCACAAGTTTGTGAACATGTGGGGAAATGATCCAACTAAAAGCACATGAGGAAATAGTTTTACTACTTACAGTTCAATTTCCACTATGCCTTTCATGCACCCCTGCTTCACAAACAGACCGATCTACAAAATTAATTTAAAAGTTGTTATGGAAAAATAAAATGTATTATCTTACGAGAACACACATTTGTATGATGGAGCTACTTAACAACATATTTTATTGAAAACTCACAATTCAAAGCAAAATAAAGCACTAACTAAAGGCACTACTATCCTCCACCAGCAGCATTAGAACCTCCTCCACAAGTTAACAATTTCTGATCAACTTCAGCCTCCAAAACTGAACAAATTATAATCAGCAGATCCACAGACAGGAAAAAGTTCTCATGAATTTGGGGAACAAAGACAAGTGAAAAGAGGCTGCCAAGTACCTGTACTAGAACTACCATTTCTAATAGTATGAAAATACATCATGACAAGTAAAGAGACATACCAACACACAATACTGCCATGCAGTCAAGTCCCATATTCACATTTGCCTATAACAGAGCAGCTACAAGAGAATATGTGCAATCATTCAGGCACCCAGATTCATTGTTCCAAACCTACTCAGAGAAATTGCATCCAACAAGACTACCCAAGAAAGCAAGAGCAAAAATTTGAAAATTTCAAGATATTAACTTCCTACTACGTCAACGCATATCTTGACAGTAAAAAGTGAAAACAGAGTAGAGCAATCCAAATTCCATTTAAATCAAAGATCAGTGCCTCTATGCTTTCAGCTGAATTTTCAAGACACATTAGGAGTACGTTATTTCTAGAGGTACTATGTATTTTGGAATTTATTTTAGACTTTGTCTATTTCTCATTTAGTTGGTACTTCTTATCAAATATTTAGGCCATTAAGTGACATTTTTCTACCCCACGGTGGATGCTTAGCCATCTTCAAATAAAACCTCTAGTCATCTCAGACTGTCCTAGAATTTAGGTGTTTCCATTTAATAACTTATACAAGACAACACGTAGTTAATTAAAATAACCCCCCTCTGTCTCTGGACCAGGTTACTCTTCAATTCAGATGTCTTTTTATAACAGTAAAGCAAATCAAGGAAGAGAGTCTTTCCCCCTATCCTCTGCTAGACAGCGCCCTGAATGAAATTCAGATTAACTATGAAAATTACAAAAGCTCATAATTACCTTATCAGCTCGGCCTAAGAAAGCAGGTTTTCCAGCCAGTCCCAGGCAAATGGCACAAACAATGCTTGACTTGCCTGTGCCATTAGCACCTACAACCACGTTCAGGTTGGGCCCTGGACGTACTTCACAGACAGTGTATGTTCTGGAAAGCAAAGCAAGTTTTTGAATTTTAACACTCTATTACCTTAAAAAAAAGAAAGGAACTTGCCTAGAAACATTTCTTTATTTTATTAAACAGATACAATTACCTAATATAGACTCAGTCGTGAAATACCATTTTGTAAGAAAGTCTCAAGCGTGAAAACTAACATTTCAATGAAACACCATGACATACATTCCCACCAGCCAGAGTACTCACCAGAACTTTCTTTAATATCAGTGACTATGACAAATAAAATCCAGCAATATGATGGTAACTTTTTAAATGAACTTACTGGAGTCTCATTTTATTTGATGCATCAAAAAGAAGATAGAAAACAGGTCATGCAGTAGCTTTCTGGAGTTACCGTATCAGCTCATCCCCAGTGTTCGTTTTTTTTCCTAACTGCATCAGACATCTTTCATCAGGTGCTTCCAGAATGCCTACTGCAATAGCAACTGTGGGAAGAGACCAAACCCACCCATGCGAACTCATATCAAGTTAACACCCTAAATTTATAAAGAATCCTTTGATGAATCATTCTGTTCCTGCATTGTGCCAAACACAGAGAGCTGAAACAGTACCACAAAAGGAGGAGTACAAAGCAGTTAACGGCTACACAGACCATGGCAACACAGCCATGCACTTGTCCAAGAGAATGAACCCTTAATATATATGAACCCTTAATGAGGATTTAACAACTGTCTCTGAGAATTCAATTAACATCTAACACGTGACTCACGCACTAAACTACGGAAGATTTTCAAGGCTCGCATGGAGCCGTAAGAAAATTGTCCGACCACTTCTGCTGGTCCAAATACGTCCAAAAATAATGGTATTCGCAGCGCACAGCAGCTGGAAAAAACACGTGCAAAGCCCACGGACACTTCATCCTAATGAGTCTCAAGGCCTATCCCCACCGCCCTACGAGCACCTTCTGCAGTCTCCCGTTCTCCAGTGTTTGGCAGCCACCTGCCTGAGAGACAACGAGCACGCAGAGGCTTGCACGGCCGAGAGGAGCCAGCCATCACCTGCGGGCAAGGCTGGCCGGCACCTGGGAACGCGCCCATCAGGGAAGCGACACAGCGCTGACAACCCCTGGGACTCGTAACCCACACAGCAGTGTCTCCCAGCTCCCCACTCCAAGCAAGACACCACCTTCCATGAATACCGCTTCCCGCACTCCCCCCCTCCAGCCCTCGGTACCCGCGCGACCCAGCTCCGCTGCTTCGGCCCCTCTACGGCGAGGCGGAAGGAGCAGGCCGCGGACGCTCAAGTGGGGAGAAAAGCCCCCCGCTCACTCACAAAAAGTTCTTCATAAAGATCCTGACGATGGAGCCCAGTACGAAAGGGTACTTGGACTCAGCGCGCTTCACAGCTTTCCCCTTTTCCCGCGCCGCCGCCATGTTCCTCCCCCACACCACCCCTCCTTCCCCCTTGGGACCGAGACCGCGCCGCGCGCTCGGCCCGGTTACGCGAGGGGGAGGAAGTGAGCCGCCCTGAAGCTCCTCATTGGCCGGGGGCGCCGGCGCCCATTGGCTGGCGTGGCGGGGGGGCGGCAGCGGCAGCGGCAGCGGCAGCGCCCTGCGCGGGGCCGGGCTGGGGCCGCTACCGCGCCCTGGGCCGCGGGCCGCATTCCGCTGCCCGTGCGGTCCGTTCAGCGCCGCTGCCCCTGAGTACGTTTGCGGCGTTATGAGCAGCTGGGCGTGCTTAGTTTGGAGAAGACTGAGAGGGAATCTCATTGATGCATACAACTGTCTCATAGGCGGTTGCCAAGAGGAGGTTGCTGTGTCCTGCGACAGGACGAGGAGCAGTGTCCATAAAATGAAGCTCAAGAGCTTCCCTCAACATGAGAAGAGCTTCTTTCCAGTGAAGATGCCAGAGCACTGTACCAGCCTTCCCCTGGAGGTTGTGGTCTCCTCCAGGCATTCAAAGCCCACTTGTACACCTTGCTCTGTCACTTGCTGTAGGTGACCCTGCCTTGGCAGGGCAGGCTGGAATAGATCCATCTCGAGAGCTCCCTTCCAACCCTAACAATTCTGTGATTCCGTGACTCAGGGTAATGGTTCAGGTAAATAACGTTCCAAGACTGCCTGTCAGACAAGAGGAGGTGGTTTGGCAGCAGAAGTTCCTGGGTGTTTCTGGTCAGCTCCAGGGTGAGCCCAGGAGCCATGAATCAAGGCTGAGGCCCAAGGAGAATTCCTGAGGGGCCCAGACTGGGGAGTGTGGCCGGGCAATGCACCACAACAGACAGCTCATCTTTTCTTTGAGGTGGGATGAGAGTCAGGTTTTCTCTTGTTCAAAACATGAGAGGCACAACAGGACTCGGTGTGTCTGTCACCTTGCAAGAGGAGTGTGCTCTCTCCGGACTTTGCCCTTACGCTGCTGCTCCTTCGGAGCCGTGGGTCTCCTCAGTGAGGGCAGTCACACTGGCAAGCTCTGCTCACATCCAGGTGGACAAAATGCCGGGTCTTTTAGTGCTTGGCTCGAGCTGTCTTTCTTAATAGTCATGATTGTAAAGTTAAGTTTATATTAGGTTTATTTTGCTGTGACACCATAGTCAGAATACCATTTCATTTACTTTATAAAGACGAAGTAACAGTGACATTTTATACAGTTGTTATTTTGGATTTCTGTTGGTAAACGAGATCTAAACTTGCCCCTCTTTTTGGAAATTAATAAGGAGAATAATAAAATGAAAACTAATGGGACAATATTTAAAGAATAAAACCAATATTAAACATAAGGACAGTATTCAACAGCAAGACAATAAAAGCTACATTTACAGCAATCAGATACAAGCCCATTGCCGCCTGGGGCATTGTAGTTGCTTTTCAAGGTTTTTGTCATGTCCATTTTACAAATTGTGACCCATCTGGGATCAAAGCAATTCCTCGTAAAGCCTTCAGTAGCTTTTGAAGAATTTTTCAGACATTAAACAGGCCTGGTATGGCAAGTCTCAGAACTGTTCTTTGCCGCACTGTGGTCCTGGTATGGCTACTGCAGCAGTGAAGAAAAGAAAAAACAGTAAATAAATATTGGTTCAGGACAGAAATTAATTCCGTGAGGAGTTTCCCATGTGGACAGAGCTGACGGAATATTTTTTCACCTCACCATAAAACTGAAGTTTGCCAGTGGAGAAATCTTAATGCACCATACCCAGTTTTCAAATGTTTTGTAGCCATTCTTTCACTAGTCTCTGAATTTCTTATTCTGTTAACTGATACTCATCAGACACTGAAGTAAATTAAAGCCACCTTTCAAATTTTCCATCTGTACTTTAATTCCTGCCACAAAAATGATTGCAAAGGTGATGTTCCCTACTTAAGAAATAACTTAGGTGTTTGAGTTATATAAATCTTTAGAGACAGGAGCCTAACAGTTGTACTTCATGCTTCATTTCATTTACATACAGAGAATCACCAAGCCTAATTATTTTAACCACTAAACTTGTTTTCTGCTTAGATAATTTGAGCTGAGTATTGATACCAAAACATGCACTTTACAGAACAACTGTAAAATCATGTTGATGCATAGGAAACAGTCCATTATTTCTGTTTGCTTTCATTTTTGAATAATAGCAAGAGTGATGTGTTCATAAGCACCTGACTAGGGAGACTGTAGGTACCTAGCAGAGGCAGATAATATATCAATTCCTTTTGGCTCTTCCTCAGTCTCTAGGAAACAAAAAATTACTTCCATCTGTGTAGTTAAATAAATACATGGGTATTGAATGTAGTACATTGAACAATCTCTTCAATTGTTTCTGTCACCAAAATTAAAATGTACAAAAGATGAAGGGCTAGATCATCCCAGGTGCTATTGATCCTTACAGGCTGTTAGGAAAAGCATATTCTTAGTTCTGAAAGGACCAGGATATGGTGGCTGTAAGAATAATTTCTACCACTCAGTACATATCTTCCTGCAGCAGTTCAGATTACTTTTTGTTAGCCTTCTTAAGTGATGGGATCCACACATTTCATTCTCTTCGTGTTCAAAATAATGAATTCAGGCTACTTTATTAGGTTCAGTTCTTTCTCCTTGAACTGATTAGCATGAAATCTAGAGCAGAGCAATAAGATGATACTCAAACTTAACATTTTATTAGGAAGTTATAGCAAATTTGGAAAAAAAAAAACCTTACACACAAATACATAAAACCTTAAAAAAATAACAAGACATGAATTCAGTTTCCTGTTAATATAAATGCAAGACATTTGCGGTTGTGGGCAAAGTGTAAGTGCATTCTCTGTGAGTGTACAAACTTGTTTAATAAAAAAACTCCAAAAAAACCAACAAGACTCTCATCCCAGAAAACATATGGCTTTAAAGTGTCTCATTTCATATAATTCCACAGGCCAGCATCTTATGCTGAATTATACTGAATACTAAAAGTGAGTTTGTTATTGACAAATATATTTGTTATAGTAAAATAATACACTATCACAAAAAATGGCCAGCAGAGTATTAAGTTTCCCAGAGAGATTTGTCATTGAGAATAATTGCACTTAACCTGTAGGATAATACTAGTAGTTAACACTATTTTCTTTGTTATTTCAAAACATTTATAATTTTCTTAATAAAAGGCCATTCTATCCCCAACACAAAACATTCACTGAATGCAGATTTAAGATAAGGCAATATTGGACTTCAATTGTGCAACTTGAATTTCCTCTTTTTACTTATATACCAGAAATGTTTAAAAAATTAAAAATTAATGATCTGTGTAAAATGGGAAGCCTTTATGTAATAACTGATGCCTCATGCAAAAGAGGAAATAATATCAAAAAGTTATGGTCTAAGAAGCCCTGAGTCAATAATTTCATTGAAAAGGCGAGGAACATGAGTGCTCCAAGTTCTTCCTATGTATTGGTGTGTATTCAAACCAGTCCAGTATTTACTTAAAAAATATTTTTAAATAGGCAGTTTGTGCAGTTTCTCACATACAATTCTTCAATATGCTTCATTCCTTTCAGCAGACTGTATTTAATACTCAATTTCGTTTAAGCTGTCAGGATAGCCTGATGAGAATTGAATTTCTTCCACTTCTGGAATACAAAGAATGAAGAAATACTGTAATTATTTTTACTTTTGTCATACATAAGAATACTTACAGAATTTAATTAGCATGCTGAATTTAAATAGTACTTTCATGTGGTTTTTAAAAAGTCTACAGCCACTTTACTAGTTGGGATTCTGAGGATGATCTCACATCCTATTAGAGGGTAAAAGGTCTGCACTAACCCAGCAGCCTGATATTAAATTCAAATGGAGGCTCAAGGGAAATATCACTCACCTACCTACAAACAAGCACTGTGAATTTCAGGTGTCTCTTACAAAGTATCTTGAAACTTACCCAAACAAGGTCCTGCCTGGAACAGAATATCATCAATAGCAGTGTCACTTCTTATTGACACACCGCGGATTGCCTCAAAAATAATCTGTAAAGTACAATTTTCATGAATCCAAATGGTGGAAGGACTGAAAAAAATAATATTCATGCAACCTATTCAAGGATACCATTTACCCCCTCCTCTGCCCTGCCTTCCCCTCTCCTTTCCTCTCCCTTTTGTTTTCCCTTCTCCTTAGCCAGACCTCTGGCTTTGCATCATCCCTTCTCCTTGGTGCCCCCTTAGGAAGACCACCCTACAAGAAGCTGCCATTTCATCACAGCTCAGTAGCTGTGTCAAATCTGGACAGGGCTACAGACAACTGGAGGAAAAGAAATTACACAAATGATCTTGAAAAAGCCCTACCACTGCTGACAAAAACGATGGCATTTAAATTTAAATACTTTAAAATAGCATTTATATATGTTAAAAAATGTTGAATTCATACTATTTTCCTACTTGCAACCTATTCATGTCTTTAATCCCTCCCTAAGTTCATTTGTAAAACATTACATTATTTCATGTTCTTCAGGTATCCATTCAATGCCACGTATATTTAAACATTTTAGTTTTGTTTTTTTTTTAAAACAATACAAAACTTGGATTCTAGTACATAGTTCACTTCAGTATTCCAATTTGACTGCTTCTTGCTTGTTTTTCTTACCTGGTAGTTTCTATCACTTTCATATTCTATCAGTCCCCTTAGCCATGAGATACTTTGTTCCCCTGTCCTCCTCCACAAAGGTATTTCTTCATCATCCCCTTCCTTTTTTAGATAAACACTTAACAATCCAGTCCCAGCTCCATACATATGATAGAAAAATGTCAGGCACTGTTTTCCAGATGTTCCTCTTAGTGATCTTGAAACTAGGTATGCTCTCTGTCCATAGACCATGTTAGATGCCTCTATATACATGTAGTATCCTTAAAAAGATATATAAGTAAATATTAGCAAAGTAGGATATACTGTGTTGGAATATTCATTATGCTCAATATACTCATTATATTATATTGCACTACATTTGGTACAAATCAGCTTGGGAATTCTCCAATACACTGTATGAATTAGGGATCTACACCTGCAGATAATCATCCTTTTCACCTCTCTTGACTGCTGCTTGCCACCAAACTACAACCTGGCTTAGAGGGGATGTCTTCACTAGGAGTTTGCACAGAAAATAGGACTCTTGAGTATCAAAAGAGGCTCTCAAGCATTCACTGGCTGCTGTTGTTGCTCTCAGCCTTCCACCTGTCTCACTGATCCTTGGGAATTCCCACTCCCTCTGAAGGCAATCTCACCCCCAGGACTTGTGGTGACAGACAGGCCGGTGAAGGGACAGACCAGAAAAAGGGAACATTGGGACTGCATGAAGAGTTCCTGCATTATCTGCGTTCATTGTCTTCTGGCAGAGCATACATCTCAAAACAGAACAGTTGTTTTATGCAGCAGATGGGATGTGGGGATGCTCCTCAGCCTTCTCACACACCTCAGTTTGCTCCAGCTGGTGATATCTTAGTGATGGAATGAGGGGCATGAATTTGCCTTTCACCAATTCATGGTCCAAACCCTTAACACTTGATTATATCTGTTGAAATACATAGCCAAGAAAAGAATACAAAGGAACAATACACTGCAGCTGCTGTTACACCAGGAATTGCACTCGGATAGAGATTGATTCCTTGGAATTCCAAGATAGCTGCAAGTACATCTGAGGGTATGCTTTAGGCTATGGTTGGTGGTGATGCAGTTTTCTGTGCACTCATGCTAATGGGGGTCCTACCTACTTAAATACTTGAACTTGCACTAGCGAGCTTGTGGAGCACATTTTCAAGATAAAGAGCTTGTGGGATCTCTTTTATTCTTCATGTTTTCTTTTAAGTTTGAACCCAAAGGGGTTCATACAGAAGAATCCCAACCCCTTGCACAGCTTGCTGTTAAGAAATGAACTAAGGAATAATCATTCACAGACCAGGCTTAAAAGGCTCTCAGTTTCAAGTCAAGGTATCAGTCTCACTTCTCAGACTACTTAATGATCCACATTAACTGAAAATAGGTCTAAAGTCAGTTTCAGGGAATATTCATATAAACTGGGAATTTGGAAGGAGCTTTTTCTGTGGAATCTGGACAGTCATCCTATTTTATCTCCTAAGGAAAAGGCTACTTTGGGACATGACAACCAAATTATCCACATGTCCTAGAGATAATTCAGATCAAATGTCATATTCTCAAAACCACTCATGAGTTCCCTGCAGAATGTGCTTACTTCATTTGATTAGTAACTTTTCTGAATAGAAGAGTAACAGCTTTCTTTATCTTCCAAGTTATCATTTAAAATATTTAATTAATATTTTTTATTAACTGTCAATATCTGTTCTGAAATTTCAATGTGGAACTTAACTCACCTACCCCAGTAGTGTGGTCTCCTTTCGGCCCAGTGTAAGAAGTGGGAGTTGGACCCCTCTTCCTATGCCAGCTCCCACGACCTCTCTTCTTCTGGGTAAACACACACTCATCTTTTTCAAAAGTGCATTCTCCAGGAGTGGGCAGCAACAAATCTGTAAGGAGAGGATATAGTTTAAAACTTCAGATACATTAGACTGATATATGGAGAGATTACATAAGTAATGTATTACATTTTCTCACCTGCTGACATCAATTACAGCTACCTGGCAATGCTTACAATAGTCACAAGCTTATATAAGCTACCTTCAAACTGTCGCATAAAATTTAATTTAATTCTCTTCACATCTTTGGGAAAATCTGTGCCCTAGTCTAGCTTAGTGAATAGGATTCACTAGTCCTAGTATTCTTTAAAACAGTTTATTAGTCTTCACAACAGTGGTTTCGACTAGATGATCTTATGAAGTCTTTTGGTTTTAATGGTCGCATTCAATGCTCTTAGAGGTCTTTTCTAACCTTAACAACCTTCTATGATTCTGTAACAGGCTCTGTTATAGCATTACCAGTGTAATTTTCTTCACTATTTTGGCACCCCAAGCAGCATAATAAATATGTATAACATGCATAATAAATGAGCCTTGTCAAAGACTGGAGTTTCTGTGAACTGAAATCAATGCCACATTTAGCTCTCCTCTGTTCCTTTGGCACCACACTCTACTGCAGCCTACAACAGACCACAGAGCTGCAATTACTAGCGTATTTTCATTATTTCAATTCTATTAGATCATACAAAAGGTGATATAATTCAGGTGCATGCCAGGAAGCTTTTGTCAGGTAATCTTAATTTGTCACTCAGAAGTAGACATTTTGAGCAGCTTCCACCTTTTGAAGAGGAGGAAGCCTGATACCACTTTTCAGGCATTTGTTTTGCTGCCATCAGAGACAAGCCATGGCATGACTATACACCCAGATACCAGTTCTGCACCTTTGGTTCCTTTTCCAATTACTTAGAAATTACAGCAAGGCAAAACAGACAACTGCTGGAAATAGCTTAGAAAAATGGCATCTTGTTTTGTACGTGTGACTTCTTTCTGTTTTGTTAGCCTGAATGCATAAAATCCAATCAGAAGAGGTCATTAAAAAGCTATTAGGATCATTGCAAAGGCATGGCTTTATTCCAAAGAAGAACGGGATTGTAGATTGTGCCTGCCTCATGAGAATATTTTTGGTTTATTTTAAATTAGGGTACAATTGTTGTATTGTCAAACCTCACAAAGCCACAAAAGAGGGAGTCTGGTTAGTTCAGAGAGGTTGGCCTGTGCATATCAGAGGGTAAAGTTTTGCTGAAAACCATCCAGTTTTTCCACTACAGTGGGAGTGTTGGACTGCTTTTCTCTGTCTTCATCAAAGAACTGCAGCTCAGGTGCGGCTGTGTCTTGGCCTTGCACAACTGTATTTCTTGCCTAAAAAAAAATATGCTGTGTTTTGAAAACTACTGCTTTGGTGTCCATTTCTGGCTTCTTGAACATCATTTGAAAACTACTCTTCACTCAGTTGAACTGTGGGTTTACTTTAATGCCCTTAAAGGACCATTCACCTATATAGAGCTGCTCTGGAGTCACTGAAATTTATTAGGAGTTAGCTGGTACACCTGTGAGCAAAAATTGGTCCTTGCTGAATGTTTGCTGCTTTGAAAAAATAAGATTTATGCCATACTTATTGGGAAAAAAAAAAAAAGACAAGAAACCACAACAGGACGAAGGCAGCTATAGGATAGGCTTGGAAAATGAAGGTGTATGATGAGCTCTTCTCAAAAGGATAGCAGCTGTTGGATGACAAATACATATGGTCTTACCAGCAGCCTGGCAGCTTCCCAGGCTCAATGATACATCATCCAGTGCCACAAGTCCACAGTCCCAGAAGCTTTTACACCAGCTAACAAAGACAACCTACAATACAGGAAGGAAGTTTCAGGTACAAAACCTGGCACTGTTAAGAGTCTGAAATGTTAAGTGTTTTTTCCAAATGCACAGACAATTTTGAAATCTACAGAACAGGAACAATGGATCCACTTTGCCTTGGCACATTCTGCCAGTGACAGAAATGTTGATTCCAGTGGGGACTAAATGTATGTTTTCAATCCAAAGAAAGTATTTTCTCACTTTTGTAGGCAAATTATGTATGTCTGTATGTAATTCCCTAGAGTATTGTACTAGAGTATTTTTTTGTCTGTGAGAAAACATGACTCACTGAGGTTGTTGTGGCTTTTTCTTGTTCAACGCCCAACATGAACAGCTCAAATATCTTCAGCTATCTTATCCTGAAAACTAGGAGGTTTTATCCATGGAAAAATAAATTTGAAAGAGTAATGTGGAGTGATGGACAAGAATGGCTGCGGCAAAATGCAAAGAATAATAGAGATGAACTGAAACTACTACACAAAATGGGATTATTCATACATGACTCAGTGCCATGACATTGCAGAGCAGGAGACTTGAAATGTTATGCATAATTCACAGTGTTCGTCTGAGTTCATGAAGATTAATAAAAACATCTAAGATTTGAGTAAACATCAATTCTGCCATGGAAAATACAAGTCACTCGTGAGATAGTAAAACAAAATGTAAAGAAGCTGTAAGACTCTCAGTTGCCCATCTGCCAAAATTGACACAGATCTCTTTGAATTACAGAAGACACATTAGGATTTATTTTGTGAAAACACTGCTGGCGGTTTTCTTGGCCTAACTACTCCAAACCATCTGTCTGACCATTGGGGTTATGACCATAATTTAGGAGGAGCTTTTCAAAACAATTCCTTTGTGTTGAGGTATATTCTAGAGATTGCAGAAGGATTACTGTCACTTCTAACTGTTTAATCTTCTGGACAACACCTCAGTTGCATATTTGAGGTTAAATGCTGACTGAAAAGTTTCATGTGGATAAAAACAGGCATTCAAAAGATGTTAGAGCATTATTCAGTATGTACTCTTCTAGTAGGCTTGGTAACACCTTCAGTATGATGCCTACATGGTATTTTCCAGTTTGTTTTGCTGTGTAGTATTTATTGACTCATTTGCTGATAATAACAGTAACTACACCAAAAACTTGGAAGCATGCATGCATTATGCTGCCCAGGGTGAAGCAACTTTCAAGCAGGGTGAAGCAAAAACTTTCAAGTTTTTGAAACTCCTCCATTCACTGCTACCAATCCTGGTTATTTTTGATCATCTCTCTTGTAAACTGGCACTGGTATGGAGTTAAGGAGTGCCCCTGCGCAGAATGCAAAACTGCTCAGCATATGGTGGCCTAAACCTCGCACCTTTTTTTTTTTTTTTTCCCTTCCCACTGTAGAACTGTATCTTAGCTTTAAGGTTTAACAGGACACAGGGGCAATCCTTTAAACACAGTAGCATCTCTTGGAAAAAAAGCATAAAATAAGCATAAAATAGGATACTGACATTGGGTGAGTATCACTCTTCATAATTTTAATAAATGCATTCTGGTGAACATTTTTAATGAACTAAAGACATATTTAGCCCTAAATCCCTGAATCTTCAGAAGACCGCACATGTAAGGATGAAGTCAGTCCTCATTTGTGAAATAACATTTCCACATTGTGGAGTCATGTTTTAAGCAATGCTTTAGTATTGATCTCATTGGGAGCAGGACTAAGTTCTTTATTCTTAGATTGTAGTAATTTGTTCTGTACAATTTATGTAACTACCTATTGGATCCTGGAGAAAGCCCTCCATTTAAAAAGCATCTCAACAATAACTGTGGTCTCTCAAAGGCCATTGAACCAGTAATCTTTGCACAACCAAAGGACCGATCTGATTCAGTGACACTTACAAGCTTGTTCAGCTTTGCCATCTGTAGCTTAAGCTTCACTAGTTTTCCACTTGATTTTTGTGGTGTTGAGGGACACACTGCCATGAGCATCCTCTGTAATTTCAGGGATGAAATTACAAAGTCTTTTACTTGGGAGCTTCTACTTGGAAGTGCAGAGTTTTCAGTATTTGCTTTAGCAAATATACTGAAATTGTTACAGTCCTCTCAATTTATTTTGTTGTTAAATTCTTGATTTACTTTTAGGCAATGGACTAGAACATTTTTATTCACAGTTTGAATTTGTTTGCTCTTCTTCTGTTTTAATATCCTTTTCTGTCATAAAGCAAAATATTTGAGTATTTGAACTTTACCTACCAAAATTCTATCAACTTTGATTTACTCAACTACTCATTTTCACAATGAGTCAGATCTCTGAATCCTTCCTACAGTCTCAATAGAACTAATCTCAAGTTGCTTTGCATTTGTTCTTGTTTTGCATTAAAATATTTGCTAGGTCAATTTTTCCAAAATACATTCTTACGACTTTATCTCATACCTTGGAGAAGACAATAGGGGACTCTTTGTGCTGAGCATTTTTTGTCATAAAGCATGGCAGATGAACAACATACTGATTGTTTCAAGCTAGGTAACAGAGATTCCTGGACTCATATGCTATTTTGGACACTAAATTAAAAACACTATCCAGTGAAGGCAGTTGTGTTGCCTGTGTTACTGAAAAATAAAACATATCTCTCGTGTCTCTTTTTGTTCCAACAACAGGACACAGCTAGGGCATCAGTTCCTTCCAAATCATTGCTCCAGCTTAGAAGCTGATTTGTTTATCTTGCAGTGCCTAATCAATGGTCCTGGCCTTCAGTGTCAAAGTATCAATAATCCTTTCTTAGCACTTATCCTGGATGATATGAGGTATGAGCAATGCCAGATGAAAACAGCTGGTCGAGCAAGCTTCTGCCAAAACACCATATTGGGTTGTGCAGCAGATACTGGGTGAGGTAGAAGGGACTTCTCATCCTTAGCACTCAGCGACTCTACAAGGAGTTCAAACTCACATGCTTATAAAGTTAATCTGCTTTTAAAGGAGAAGAAATAGGAGGACAAGCAGTAAGGTACTTTCAGTGTAAGGAGGGATAATGGGGAAGCTATAGGAGGTTTTGTGGAAGCTGGACTGAGAACAGGAGAAAAGGAGATCCCTGTATGTTCCCTTGGATCCCTATATGTTCTGTGTGTTTTCTTTCCTCCTTGTTTATCCCAGAACATGCACATCTTGCTCAATTAGAGAGCCAGATCTGCCAAACAGAAAAAAAACATGAGAACAGCCCAGTCTGGTTACTTAAGAGCAAGCTATGCCTCTGCAGCAAGGTAATTTATCTTTTCCATCCTAATGAATATTCCAAGGTTTAAATGACACACTGTAAATCTGTGTAGACACAAAACGCGGTCTGTCACTTAGACGTATTTAAAGTTCAATTTCCTAAAGAAGAAGGACAGTTATAGTGGAGGCTGAGGTGTTTTTTTTTTTTTTTTTTTCTGAGAAGCTACTGTTGTAACTTCCTCACATTGACACAAAACTCAGTATTACAAAATCAAAAAATAATTTGAACACTAGAAACAGAAGTGTGACCTGACAGGAAGAAGCAGTGAAGATGTTTTCACACAAGACAGGGAGCCTGATTTTTCAGTCATTTATGCAAATAAAAGAGATTACAAATAAGCATGTAAGCCAGGGACTGACCACACAGGGGATGGGAAAACCATTCTGACTGTCTCAGGGCTTTTCAATACAGATGTTTCAAGTGTAGACCAAGTTTCTCATAGCTAACTTAAATAAAACTAGATTTTAAGTGGCTTGTATTTCTTTGGCCTAAACAGTCAGAAAATCATTTATCAAGAATTCAAGTAAGCTATTAAGCCAAAATTAGAACATTTGTAAGCTTCTGTCATTTCAAACAAATTGACTTAAATGGCACTCACCAGGCAAGTTCAGTTTCTTGCCATGTAAATACAATGAGCTTCTATGGGAAAAATAATGTAATGTGAAAGCTTCTACATAAATAATTGGATAACATTGATAATAAGCTTGTGACAGTTGAACAAGTATTTTTGAAAACCTTTCCTGTCCAAGGGCAGAAACAAACAATGAAAAAGAAACATAAAGCTAACAAAAAATGTCTGCCACAGGCTGTTTATTCTACATCTCCTCTTGCTGGATTGCACAGCGTAGCAGAGAACACTGCCTGCACACAAATATATACAAGACACTAATATTCTCATCTGTCCCCCACCACCCTCCCAGATTTCCACAAATCTACTGTAAGGGCTCTATCCTCACTCCAATCAAACAGTTTCCTGTCCATTAAGGATTGGCAATACCAAAAGGAGATGTGTAATATTTCATGCAACATATCACCTTGCTTAGCAGCTGTGAAGATGCAAGCCATTTAGGCACTGCTTCCTAACCTGAGGAACTTTTTCAGTTTCCAGTATGCTGTTTCCGTAATCAAGCACCACAGGAAGTGAGGTTCCCACACAGCAGCACTATCCTACTGTTTCCAAACTCTACCGTTCTTATTTTAGGCATTTCTAGTGACTGTTCTTCAAGAAGTTTATTTTAAAAGGTAAGGAAAGGAATGACAGAAGGACTGTTCTATAAAACTGCAGCTCATTCCAGCCTCTTTAGGGTGCATACCTTATTGTGGGAAGACTGATAAAGGTTTTGTTGGAACAGTACCAAAAAACTCTTTTATTTGACACAAGTGTAGAGGAGAAGGAGGAGAAGTAGCAGGAGGAGCAGGAAGAGCAGGAGCAGGAGGAGGAGCAGGCGGAGGAGCAGAAGAATGTCTGCCCTCCTTCAGTTGGCGCCGGACTGGAGAACTGTGTTTTTCACACTACTGACTTGATCACAGGGATCTAGGTTTTCATTGTTTATCCATAATTAGTTTATTCATTTACCTATTACTTTGGTGGTCAAGCAGGAAACACAAATTTCTTGCCAGCAAAGAGAAATAAATGCTAGAGTAATTTAACATTGAGCATCACCACAGTGATGATGTGAGAAGAAAGGTCCAAAGACACTCAGATCAAGTACTAGAAAGGCAGCAGGGTGATAATAGATATTTAGGGAAAACAGTACAAGAAACAAACCAGCACTAAATATGTCCAACCAAAAAAAGCAGAAGAACTTGCTGAAGTGGAGGTCACAACTGGACCACTGTGGTTACAGTCACTGTGAAGTCTATTTTCCATGATTTTTTAAAATCTTTTTTTAAATGCATGTATACTATTGGCATCCACAGCATTTTGCAGCAAAGTTTCTCAGTATTGTTCTGAGAAAGTCTTCTCTTTTCTTTGTTTTAAAATGTATAAATATTCAAGTGCAACAGAGTCACTTGATTTTCCTTTCTCACAATTGCAACTAAATTAGTTATGAAGGATAAGAGAAAGCGAACCAATGAACTCAAGCAAAGAGAATGAGGAAAAAAACATCAAAGAGGAATAAAAGAATACTTAAGGAATGAAAAACCAAAAATTCAGCCACAGCTAGATGGGATAGTAGGATAGACTGCTATGCCAATTACCTCTCTGAGGATTTGATTTTGAACTCCTTGGGAGGTTCAAGCACTATTTTACTAGGTAATGTTGCAAAAGCTTGCATGATGGATAAAAAACACAACACGTTTGCTTTCAAAAACCTGAGTTTCTGAATGGTAACCCAAATCTAGCAAAAATGAGCAGAATTGATAAAAGCAGACCTAACTGAACTCAAACCTTCATTTTAATCTGGAAATTTGGACTTGGTTGTGAAGTTGCATAAGATAAATATTTTTCCATGCTGGTGTTTTCCCACATACACACACACACACACACACACATACACACACACACACTCTCACAATATTAAAATGTAGATTCTTGCTTCACAGTTCATGCAAGCTTCTCAAGGATGCAAATGATATGTGAAATTTTCTTTCAGTTAGCTCCTACATTTTCCTGACATGTATTGGCATGGAAGGTCAATTTCAGTATATTCAATCAACTGAAAATAATCTATATAATTCAGATTGAGGTTTTCATGCTGCCCTTCCAGAGGCTTATACAATAAACCATGAAAGATTTAAGTGATCTCAAAAAACATTAGAATTTTTTTTTGCACTTCTTTCTTCTCGCACTGATTCTCTGGGTACAGTATAAATCAATATACACTGTATGTATATACAATCATAGATACTCACACCAACTAGAAGAGACAGTGCTGCAAGTACAAATTAGGAAATCAGGATTTTAAATTCCCTGCCTTCTCACTAGCATTATCAGCATGTGTATGTACAGTATGTGCACACACACACACAAACACACACAAACATATATCAATATAAACATATACGCACACAAACACACATATATGTATGTAGGTATAGACATTTATGACTTGCTTAGCTGGATCATACCTGCCTAGCCTTCAAAACATTTTCTTTTCAAAATGTTATATTAAAGCCAGCTGGACAGCTTCACATTTCCTGCTCACAGAACTCAAGCCATCAACATGTGCAGACTGCAGTTAGCTAATTCAAAAAGAACTTACAAAAACCATTACAGAAACCAAGAAACGAAAATCTGCATCTTTTTATTGTCCTGATGCAAACAAATATGCTATCAAAACTAAAATGTATTAGATGGGTTTTATATATTTTTCAAAGCTTTGGGAGTAGTATTCATAGTAGCAAAAAGATGAAGGATGTGAGTAATTGGTTATTTTATAGCAATTGTTTTCTGGCTGAAAAAATCATTTTGACCTTCAGGACACATTGTTGCTGACTTGACCAACTGTTAAGAACTGCCAGGAAACTGTTTACTCTTTCCACATGGGCTGACCCAATCCAAAAGTGGCTCCTGGTAACCAAGAAGATGCTCAGCCAAACTACTGTGCATGCCTACAACTTCTCACCATCCAAGTCTACATATGATGCATCTCGGAGAACAATAACATAGGTACATCAGTCACTATGTCTGTATTAGAGGAAAGGTGGCAGCCCTCTCTTATTTTGAGACCACCTCTCTCCACTGAAAGACTGTTTTTCACTTGTCTATAATATTGCCAAGACACAATGATCTCAGCTCAGATTTTCCATGCTAGGTCCTTGCTACAGCCTTGTTTTGGAAGATTTAATCCAAAACAGTTCCATCATTTCCGAGAACAAGGCTAGGAAAAAGGATTTATTTTGCACCTCTTAAACAAAAAAATGCTGTGAAAAGCTTGAGCACTCCAAGGCTTTGGAGTAGAAGCAGAAAAGTGTCAAGAGTCTGATCTTTATGTCAGTGCTATCTTTTCTGTCAAGTCATTAGTTTTTGAGAAACTAAAATTTGTAAGAAATGGGACAAGCAGGGCAAACAGAATGGAACATGAATAATATTACAGGGAAAAAAAATTGGATTGTCTAGAGCTGAGAGTTAGATGAAGACTGGGGTGGGGGGCAGAGGGGTGGCTCACTGCCTATGGGACAGGTTAAAATCAAGATGCCTCAGTGAGGAGGCAAGAGACACAAGGATAGGCTGCAGGAGACAGGACAAAAGAGGTCAAGCTTCTGTCATGTCTCTCAGCACTGTCTCCCTCCAGAGCCAGAAGGGTAATCCTTTACTTGCTGGTTCCCACCACTTCTTTCTGCCAGCAAAACATGCTCTGGTGCACCTCCACAGCTGCCCTACAAGAAATGAGTGGTTTTGCCAGCTATTTCACTACTAGGCATGCATCTTCACAGGTAACTAACCTGAGTGTTTACACAGTTACACAGTAATACTTCATTTCCTTCTGTTGCCTTGGAAGAAGAAACAAACAAAATAAAGCACGAGAAGACTTTTAAAAGTATTAAGGTTGAAAAGCTGGACATGAGCTTGCAAGGAAAAGCCAGAATCACTGTGTTCACTGTGCAACTTCATTTGAGTTTACTTCTAAATATTATGAGCAGACAGCCTGTAACTACACCAGGTTTTCACCCTCTGCCTTAAGCAATCATGGTTAAACTTTGGCGATATTTGTCTTTTTTATGCTACCTTCCCATCTGTATCTTGATGTACTTTTCCATTTAATAGTGCTCAGAACTTCACCCATTTTCTTCTGTTTATCTAAGGAAAACCTTATAAATTGAACCCCCTTTTCAAATACATAGTTATTTAGCTAAGGGGTGCCTGAATTATGGTTTGCTGAACACATGCTGACTTATGTAAAGCCCAATAAATCTCCCAATATTTTGTGATATTTAAGGAATCACTCCTCAACAGAAACATTTTGCCACTTGTTTCCATGGGAAGGAAGACTTTTACAAGACCTGAAGCACCCAGAGAAGGTTTTTGAGAATTGACAGAGGCCAATAAACCATGCTGCAAAGCATAGTTTTTCTCCCCCTCCTACACACCTTCAGACTCAGAAGCAGCGAGGCAAGCTTCTTCACAACTGTTTTACGTATCCTGACTTCTAGGAAAACAAAAATTGTTCTTCACAAATTCATGCTGGAAAAGATTTTCCATGTAAATGTCTGATGCTATAAACCTGCCACCTCCAAAGTTGTCAACCAGTTCCAACAGTTGTGCTCAGATGTCATCACTACTCATGCAGTTGATTATGCTGCATCAGCTACTAAACCCTTCCAGAAGCAATAAAGAAATACCTAAACAGGAGACGACAAAAGTAAATTATAAGCTTGCCATTTTAACTTTTCTGCAAGTATCTTGGAATGATAATATGAGAAACTTTTCTAGTATGCAGTTGCTGGGCACTATGAAATTCTTTTTTTATTCTCTAACACTTGAAAGGAAATTACAAATTCTGTTATGTTTTATGGATCAAGTACATAAAAAACCCATTGAAACTTTAAGGTATCAGGTATCTGACAGAAAACACTACCCAGCAACTAGGACTGAAATTTTAAACGTAAATTTGCCTCTCAACACAGTTAGGCAGCTGGTTTTTGGTGACCTTTTATTGTCAGTAATTACTGTTATTTCAAAAACTAATTTGTAGTGGAGAAAATATTTAAGATGTTTGTCTTTAATTTAGAAATATTTAAGAGTTGCAAGACAAGCCTCCATTCATATGTTCAACATATTATCACCCTCTGGTCAACATGTAGAGATCCATCTGGTTCTCTGTAGATAACTCACTGACAGTGAAAATCTGTTACAGAAATCAGGATAAATATAGAAGTAGCACTTATAGAAATCTGTGTAAAAGTTAGTCTTTGAAAAAAGAGTGGAGATGAGGAGTTACAATGGCTTAAGGACTTACTCAGGATGTGATGTTAAGTACCAATGTGTTATTAATTTGCTGAGATAACATAATGACCTCTCCAACAAGACACTGCTAATTCTTCTCATCCATTGCTCTCATTTACACTGACTTCTAGCTTCATATTGTAACCCAGCAGTTGAGTTTAGTGAAAGAGGATTAGTTCCCCATTTTTACCAGAACTTACCAGTACTTTTTAGATTAATAAAAATCTGCAATTGAGTGTGACGATGATATGACTCACATAGGAAATAAGGAGACAAAAATGAGAGCATGTGGAGCATGCTGAGAGACCAAGACTCAAATGGCTTTTGTTAGAGCTCCTCTGGTGAAATCTCCAGCTAATTCAATTTGCAGGTATAGCTCACTTAGGATTAATCCTATAACAAAGAACTCTGAGAAGGCAAGGAAAATCTCCTCTCAGAATTTGGAAAATTTGAAGAGTTGGCTCTTACCTTGCAAGGCATAGGCTTTTTGAAGGAGATTTCAGCTTGAGTCCAAACTCCCTTTGGAGAGTCCAAGACAGACCAGATTTTCTCTTGAACAACATGATTCTCCTCAAAGATATAAACTGCAAGAGTGCCACTCATCTTAAAAAACCCATATAAGGCATAATAAAAACGCAGACAAAACTGCAAGTTTCCTGGCAGGGTTGGGCCATACAGACGTCCAATGTACCCAGGCTGTGATGTAAACTTTGTATTTGCCAACAAATAATAGCCTGCAAGAGAGCATAATTATTGTATTTAATACAGTATTAGCACAGCTGATTTGCTATTAAAGCAGCTTCTGTTACTGCATCAGACATGGGTTATAAAAACAGTTCCAACTGGCAAGAAATAGATTATCACACTCTGATAGGAAATAACCAATTTTTTCCAAAAGCATCCTGTCTGCTTCTAGCTAAACTGGCACATGGCTACATTACCAGAAATAAGCACTTATCAAATTTATCCGGAAAAATTCCCTGGCTTGCTGGCCTCACTGGAAAACTAGCCTTTTCAGGGTTACCACTGTGAGACAAAAAAAAGGAGTGTGGGGCACAAGACCTATTATTCCCTGCAGCAAGTATAAAGAACTGAGACCTTAGTGCACATAATTAATAACCATGAATACTCTACACAAAGAGATGTCTGAATTTCAGAACTTATTAACAGTCTTTTCACCATGTGGTTTCACTACACAATATTTCACTACATTTACTTCCATATTTTTTTTGATTCATCCCTCCAGCAACTACAGAGCAGTATAGTGAAGATACTCTGATTTATGGCCCTGCCTGACTATTCAGTAGGTGACCATCCTACTCTACGCATGGGGATGCACAGCCAGAGTCCCAGACAGGACCAAAGTGTGAGTGGTGATTTCTAATGGCAGAGAGTTGCAGTGAGGAAAGCTAACCATTGTGCCAGTGAAATTACTTAACAGAGTGAACAATGATACAATAGATTAACCTTAACCTTTTATACAACATTTATATATAGTTTGAGTCTTCTAGGAAAAAGCAGTTTTGATTCACCGAATCCAGTAGTGTGATCTCCTGCTCTATACACATTGCGCTTCACTTTCACTCTGCTCCATCCTGGGCCATCTTTGTGATCTTGGTAAAAATTACACAGATCTTCCTCAAAATTGCAGCCTGCATTGGCAGGATTGAAAGGAACTCCTAAAAGAAAGATGCATATGTTCTGTTAGGATGAGTACAGTGTGATAATCATAGGTTTGATGCAGAAGGATGCTGAAGCATACTCTGGTTCATCTTGCTTTTTTTTACCGAAGATAAGCATATGCAAAGATATTACACATATATAGTGCACAGCCATGATGAAATCAAACTATCAAATTTCTATTGCAAGTTGGTCTTATATTCTTATATTTTTTCCTGGAGCCAGGAGAAACCCTGCTTTGTAGCCCCCCTAAAACACAAATGAGAAGACCAGTTTCTTCCTTCAGCATAGATAATTCACAGAGGCATTCAGACCACTTGTTTTCATCTGCTCCTTCATTCAAAAGATTATTAGGACAAAATTAGTGTGTCCATGTGCCTGTGCGTGCACTAAACATCAATATTTAGTATTTTTTTTACGAGCACTTCTTAAAAATCCTTTTTATAGTTATGTGTAACATGTGTGCTTATGTGTGCTGTAAGTACATAAGCAAAATAGTTTTTAGTTCCTGTACCACCCCATGGCTACTTTCCTCTGGAGCTTGCCTCACACAGTGCTAACACTGCAGTGAAGAAAGCTAAACCATTTATAGTAAAGTTGATTAAAAGCAAAGCTAAGACCCACCCAGCCCTGCTGATGGCTCTCTTGACCTGCAGTATGGAATTCATGGGTCAGAACTTGCTTCAGTCTGAAAAAAGTGACCCTGCTGTATGGGCCATGCTAGGAAGTAAAACATTTCTATTTCTTCAAAGGCCTCACCAGTCTCTTATAGAAGGTGGTTGGGGAAGGACAGGCACAACCCAAAGCTATCGTGCAAATTTTGGTTTTGCCAGGAGCCCAGACACAGGACATTGTGTACATCACTCTACAGCAGCACATATGACCTTTCTTCATGGAGATGAAGAGAGCTTTTTCACCAGTGGCAGGTAGACAGGCAATCAGCTTTAGTAGAACAAAAATTGTGGCTTTGTAGTGATGCCTGAGGTCTTTTCAGTCTCAGATAGGCCAAATCTAACTCCTCCTATGTGTCTTAACTCTTCTTGCAGCCATGGCCTCTCACCTCTGCTTTCCTAGTTAAAGAAAAGGCAGGTGTAGCACTCCCATGTGGCATTAAACCCATATTCTGACTCATCCTTTGCTGAGCAAGTTTAGTACTCTGGTACCTTTTCCTCCATTTGGCTAACATCAAGACTTTTGTTGAACAAAACTTCAAAAAAAAAAAAAAAGAAAAAACTTAGTGCTGTTATATATATATTGCTATGGCCAAATACAAGGAGAATGGAGAGTTCTTGCTTTTAAACATCTCTACTCAGAAGAATTGAAGATGACAATAACTGATAAGTCCAAAGGATCAAACAGTGTATGTTGTATATGTTGTATGTAACAAAGTATAAAGCAAATAATTTACTTTAATTTCTCAAACAAAAAGCCCAAAGCAACCACAAAACCAACCTTCAAAATCAAAGTTAGTAGGTGGACTTCTAGATGAACCTATCATATTCAGAACAGATTCTGATCCATTTACATTAGATCTGAACTTCAACCATTGGGCAGAAAATGCTGTAAAATTTATCCCATTTCTCAACACATATAAGTTGTCTGAAAACTAAAATGGCAATAACAGATAAGCAGCTCCAACCCCATGAAAACTGCAAGCATAACTTAAGATTTTTGTTGCAAAATAAAGCAAATATCAAAAAGGTATTGAGGGGATAATAAAACAATGGATTTACTCAGCCAGGAGATGTGGATTATTAATGATTAAAGTATCTGGAATCTACCTCCTTCAGCCGTGATACTCCAGCAGTGGAGGCAGAGCTAGCAAATACTTTGAGATAAAAAGGGGGAAAAAACAGCCTCTTTTTCATAGATCACTTTAAAGAACTTGCCTAAAAATTCAAAATTCTGACCAAAGGAATAGATGGCATAGTTGGGAAACCACTAATCTACTTCTGACTAGTGTTTAGTGCCAGAGTAAAACCCCAGCAACCAGCTACTTAAGAGGCTGCATTCCCAAATGACAATGTCCTTTGTCCCAAGTGCCTCTACATCAGAAGTCACAGGGATTCAGGTGGTGTCTGTTGTTGTGAAAACCTAACAAATACCTGACAGACAGGCTCTGCCTGAGATGAGTAATACCTCCTGGAAGAGTGAAGACAGGGAGGCAAGGCTCATGTTTTGGCTCTGAAGAACACCTCAGGGCATGTGGCACGAAGAATGCCTACACTGGCATTAATGAAAAGCCCAGGGCATTTTCTTCCTCATACCATCACACCTGGGAAAAATCCTCCTTCTCTTTCTGTGACAAGCCTGCAAGTGGTAATTTGTCAAAACCCGTAGTGACACAAATACAGCATTCAGTCCAGCACTCCAGCTGCAGAACCCTGAGGCAAGGTCTTTGGAAAGGAAGCATTAAGAATTGGCTTCTGAAAAAAATGAATGGCAGAGGTGTTATCTCCTGTTATATCTTCTGAAGGAAGAGGACCCCAGTGGCACTGGTCAATTGAGAAGGTAGCACCAAAATTGCAAACACTGATAGACAGATCTGAGGGGAAAGGTAGAGGGAGAAAACAAGGGAGATAAACAGCAGCAAGAGCTCACCTTACCTGTCTGATTGCTGCAGTAAACCGGAGAGAAAGAAATGTCATCAAGGGCAACATAACCTCCCTTGGCGCTATTGAAAGCAACTTCAAATATTACCTAGAAATTGTAATAAGTTGTTATTCGTCCGACATATACTCAACAATAATTTTGGTACACATCTTTCAAATACAGAATTCTGACTGAATGTCCCAGACAGACTCCAGCACATCTCATACAGTGCTGAAAGTGTGGGGACTAACAAAATTATATCATTTATTAGGGATATAAATCAGAGCCTGACCTTGGCACTAGATCGTTGCTCACTCGAGGTCAAGGAAACACCAAAAGGAATACAGCTCTTCTACTTTACGAAGCACCACTTTTAAGATGCAGTAAGGCTTCTGCCACTGCATTATACGAAACCACTATTCACAAACATCAGTCTGTACTGATTAGAGCTCCAGTTTTATCTAGAATCTGTCTGGATCAAGAGCTAAAAACCCCCTGTGTTCATTACTGTGCTATTAATGTACCAAATGTTACAGTTTTCTGTAAATATCCTCAGACATTGAAACCTGTGACTTGGCATTAGCTGTCAGGGAAGATTTCCTGTACAGAATTTATTTAAGAACCAGAAAAGCTATTGCTGTGCTTTGTTTAGCACAAAGATCAAACAATGTATTGTATTTAGTCATTCCCAAGGGAAATAATTTCCTCAAGTAAGTGGAGGACCATCTATAACTCTTGAGGAAGTATCTTAAAATTTCTCTTAAGTATCAAAGGTCTGAGACACAGGAAAACTTTGAGAGCCAACCCCAGGGACAAAGCAAGGAAATAAGGACAAATGCTTTCAGAGTGAGATTCTTTTCAGTGACAGCAATGCCTGGGAGGGCTAGTGAAAGAATCCTGAGCAATCTCCTTTAGCTAGATGAAACAAAGAGGAAGAGCCTCTTGAAGCAACCAAAGAACTTATGTGTTAAGTTTTAATATAATTTCTATAAAATGATCTCTGAAATAATTACTGTATTAAATTACATAGAAATTATTTGAGCAGATTAAAGGCCTGTCTAGCCCAGTGTCTTTTTTCCAGCAGAGAGCACCTACAGAAAAAACTGAAGACAATTACAGGCTTTCAGTTCTTCTTCCCTTACGTTATATTCCTGATGGATTCTTCCTTTCCATTAATTTTTCTGATCAGTTTTTTAACTGATCTTAATAATGGTAGCTACGGTATGTTGTGGAAGTGAGTTCTGTGGTTGAGTCATATATGAAAAGACCCTCTGTTCATTTTATTTTAAAACTGTTACATGGTAATTAAGAATTTGGAACAGTAATATAAATTTAGAGAAACGGGAAACAGTTAATCTTTTCTGTGTCCTTCATGACTCTTAAGAACCTCTAACATATTCTACTTCCATCTTCTTTTGTAATGGCTGAAAACTGTTATTTCATTGATGTAACTTCTCCATACTTTCCATTATCTGCAGCTCCCTCTTGGACAATATTTTTTAATCTTTTTTTAATATTCTTAAATCTTTTTTTTTTTTTTTTAATTTTTTTTATTGAGAGCTGAAGTTGCATACCCTGCTGAACACAAGATTCCCCTGTGCATTTACCCAGTGGTACAACATCCTGTGTTTTGCTATTTATTCTCATATGGATGGAATGGCACCAGGAAATGAGAGAATATTTTCACAAACTCAATAACAGTATTGCCAAGCTCTAAGTGAACATTTATTAATTTCCATTGATAGTGCTAGGACTGATTTTCCCCTTTTTAAGCGTGAATTTAGATTCTATTAAGTGAATCAATAATTCACTTACCATTCTGTAAGCCTTCTGAGATTCCCATGAAGTCTGGTGATTTAAATGGATTATCACTGACTTTATAGAGTGCAAGAGGCCTATGTAACATCTCATGAAAATTAGCTTTATCCCTAATAATTTCTGGAAGTCTACAGGTTTATGGTGAATTAGCAAATAACTTAGGTAGAATTAAAGCAAGTAGAATTTATCTGTAATCCATGTATTAGAAGTATATATGTATAGAGAGAGTATGTGTGTGTATATATATAAAAATTACATATATACGTGTAAAATACACATGTAAGTAAATATGTATACATACACTGCTTATTTCAATCTTCTAGGTTTGGGGTAATTTCTAGAAAACACTAGGGAATAAAATATCCATTTTTTTTTCTCATATTCTTGACAGTCATTATAATAACCATCAAGAGGTTTCACATTTAAGGACTACTGTACTCTTAGGACCCAAGTTTGGACTTTCTCTTGTCAACTGCAGGATATAAATAAGGTGGAGAATAGACCTTGAATATTTTTCAATTTTTTTTCTTCTGCAGTATTTTTCTTATGCATTATTTTACAATACTCAGCATCCTCAAAAATGGATCATAGAGGCACAGAACTCTATGATCTGAACTGAAAGAACCTTGATATTATTCAGCAACTAAAAAACTTCCAATCAGTGACACTCTACAACCTCCCAAGATACTCTGATCAAGCACTAAACCACCTGGCTTCAAAATCAAGCATGAATGTGTAAAGTGATCCCTTCTTGACCTTTATGCAAAAGGTAAAGGAAATCACAGATCACCAACATCTTTACAGCTATCTTTCAGATACTGCATGATCCCTGCTATGTTTCTGGATTGACCTGAGGCAACCTGAAGTCGCAGCTGGACTGTGCAGGAAGGATTGCTTTACCTCCATGGGATACGGTGCATTGAAGTCGACTTCTGCCAGTGCCCAGTCTGCATTCAGTGCACTGTCTGTTTTCCAGATCTCTTCATAAAAGCCACTCATATCTCTTAGGTAAACAGTAAAAACAATGCTGCTTTCCTGCTTAAGTTGATAATAAAAAGATAAGCAGCCAGATATTGGGGCTGTGGTCTTTGGTGAGATTAGCTGAGCCACTTCCTGAAAATGTTTGACATAAACAGAGTCCACATACATGTAGTGACCTAGAAGCAGAAAAACATTTGGTATAAGGACACTCTTTACAGAACACCACATACAAGAAGTATCAGCAGATGAACAAGGACTAGACATATATATCTATGAGCAACAATGGTTGCTTCCTAGAAAATTTTAGTAATTCTAGAAGTTTTTTTTTTCCTCTCTTTTCCTCCTATGTGCAACCGAAAATTGTTTGGCTAAGATACCACTGGCAAAATAGCCAGTCTCAGCTCTTTCTTTTCTTAAGTTTTTACTATTATTAGAAATAATAGATCTATATTTAAAACATAATAAACTCGAAACTTTGGGAGCCATTCATAAATGGAAAAATGTGCAACAACTGTGTAAACTCCCTGCCTCCCAACAGCTTGTTGTAGTATTTAGTCTCTCTTAAGTGCAACTTTTACTGAAGCAATCCAAGTAAATGAACAAGATTATAAGTCATGTGTTTTCTCATCTTTTACAAAGCAGTTCATTTAATATATCAAATTATTGTCAAATAGCTTTTAGACCTTACATATCTGCTCAGTGTATCTAAGATTCGGTTTATAAATGTCTTATTTTTACTGCATGGACTGGAGTTTTTTGGAGTTTTTTAAAATCCTTAAAGAAGATTTTTGGGAGATGTTAATGAACAGAAAAATGCATTACATTTGAGGAAAGTATCTTCCCATCATGAGTATGAGCCAAATATGATGTACAGGATTTTCTAAGGGTACAGCTTCTAATACTTTGATTTTGGGAGTGCTATCTCAATTTAAACAGGACACATCCATGTTCACAAACTTGCTGTGCATTGTAGTTTTTCTTCTTCTGCACTCCCAGAAGCACAGCATCAAACAGTATTTGATGAACCACAAAAGGCTCTTCACAAGTAGAAAGCCTGGAGAAGACAGAAGCATCAGACTGGAGCGGTACTTCAGCATGAACACTGCAAACTGTCGTTCAGTTTGAGTGGGCACCACTACATTAATTAGCACACAGAAGTCTCAGACTTTCAGATGTCACTTCTCACTTCACTCTGGTGGAAGGAGGGGAAAGGACTTGCTTGGCTGTGGGTCTCCTCCAGATTGCCCACTGCCAGGGACTGGCGACTTCAGCAATACTTGCCTGCAAGGTTCTCAGCTTCACTTCTGTCCTGCAGTTTCAGCACATCTCATAGTTTAGCTACAATCTGCCTGGATGATGCAGCTTCGCAGCCCAATTCTTGCAAAAAGAGGGATCTTCTGTGACTTTAGACTTCTTGAAGTCTTCTCAGTAAATGCTCAGCAGTGAGGGCTTGGTGTGAAATAGAAATGCTGTGGCTACAAGAAAACACATCCCTCCCAGCTAGAAGCATTTCCTGTCACAGTACTTATTTAATAGGCTGATCCACTGTCTGCTGTTGAAGTTGCAGTGAGTTTAAACTTCCATCAAAATTTTACCAGCATTTCAGTGCTGGGGGCGACGCAAGGATGGAGAGACACTCTGTACTCAACTCACACAATTGTGAAGTAAAGAAAAAGGCACAGCGGCATGAGTTAAGGAAAGAGGATCAACCCTGCTTTTCATGAGATGCGATTCCTTGCACTGCCACAAGCATCATGCAGCCCAAGACACACACTGTGCAGCACCAGCCCGATGTCCTGACAATCACCTGCTGTGGTACTTTGTGCAAAGCCAAAGTTATCCTACAACCCTCTGCACAGCCGTGTAAAAATCTCTACCCTGGGCATAGTGTCCAGGACAAGCATTTCACACCAAGTGCAGAAATCCCAATAATTCTTCCCAGCATTATGTCTCTGAGGGGCTGTACTAACAGCATCGCATTTGACTGAAAGAAACAAGACTTCTAAACTATACAGTTTCACCCAAGATTTTGCAAGCATGTTTTAATACCTTAGTTTTCCCACTTGATTTTCTCAATAGCCATTGGAAAGAAAACCTCTTCCAGATATACAGAGCAGCAGTACAAGAATCTAAAAGTTACTGTGGCCCATACATTTAGAATACATAGAAAGTTGAATTTTCCAGCTCTCACATCCAAAATTTTACTCTTATCTCTGAGTACTTTTGAATCCTAGCAAAGAGTGTAACTACCTTTTTATAAAGTGTACAAGCAGTTTTGTCTGAACTTCTGCAAAATCCCCCAGCCTCTTTCTAATCCCATTTTTTCCCCACAAATCACTCTTACAATTCCCACCCCAACCCCACAATGGAAAGAACTCATATAATAACAACTCGCAGTATGAGAGTCATACATGAACCACAGACTCCAATTTTTCCACTATATTTCTGCTCTACATTTGTTGCTTACCCAGTGCACTGTTAAGTGTGTGGTCTTTGGGCAGGATAGACTGAGAATTCCGAATGTTCCCTCCACCAACAAACCAGTTGACGTTAGGATTCCAGCGGTTCACATAGCCACAAAGATGATTTTCTTCAAAGTCACATTCTGCAATTGCAGACACCACCAGCTGAGTGCACACATTTTCATTACAGAAATAGGAAGAGCAAATTGCTAAGCAATGGCCTCACTTCACATATGGCAGAGCAGATAATGCCTGCCTGTATTTATAAAACTGGACACAGCATTTAAGAGCTGATAATAAATAGAAGCCAACCTATCCAAAATTTTTGATCATCTTTTGATAAAATTTTATTTCCATCCTCTTTGGACAAATCTGTCTTTTTACCATTTGCCAGGATAGGACTGCTGTAATTCAGAAAGAAATAAAGCAGATTTAAATATACCACCTCCATGCAGTAAATAGTCAAAGCAGAACTTTCACTTGTAAATCAGGGATGGCCAGAAGCAAAGCAGGATAAGTATTTCAAAACAGTAATGCAACTGCTTTGTCTCCTTCACAGAGCCAAAGAATTGTGACAACTTGGTTGGACCCCACCAGAGCTCTCCAGAAATGTGAAGATCTCCCAGCCTCCTAGACACTGGAATTTTTGAACTTCATTAGCAGTTTTTAGCAAATATCATGAGGAAATGGCAGTAACTGTAAATATATATATATCAGCACAGTTTTTTGACTGTAGCGTCGAGATTACACTTGTAATGAAGCCATGAGCAGGCAGAGAGGAGAAATAATCTTGCAGCTGTTATGTCTACTGTTTGAAGCTTTTTAACATATAACAGTTGCTCCTGCTTGAAAAATAAATAGATTTTCAATTATATTGTTGTATATAATATGTGTGTATAGTACGTGTATGTGTATATATATATATACACACACATATAGATATGTATATATATACATATATATACATATATACACATACATATATATGTATATATAAGTACATATGTATATATACATATATATATGTATATGTATATATACATATCACAGAGATAGGTGAAAAAACCCCACTTACAAGTTTGTGCACTCTTAGCTTAAAAATTATCTGTACTGAATATAGCAGTGTACTTTTCAATTAAGAAAAAGTCACTGTCTTTTTTTTTTTTAAGCCAGACCTTCCATGCAGTTTTAGAACTGCCAACAAGGCATTCTCTTCTATGCAGAGAATATGAGGGTTGAGCGAAGAGTACTTACCAACACAATATCCAGAAGTTATTTTGATTTCAAAAACTGCTATACTCGTGGATTTATCTTGTCCCATTTTGGCTTCCAGTACCAGCTGCACAATATAAACCAAACTGTCAATTTTAGAATTTCATTAGTACCTTGAATATTTAAATAGGATAAAGAGGAGAACAAATTAAATGTTTCTTGGGGAACCATCGTCTTTGCAGTCAGGTGTGCTTTTGCCGAAAGAGCTTGGCAGAATTCATTAAAGATGGAGCCAGTGCTCTTCTTTAACCACAGAAGACACACTGAAGGACAATGAGACCAGGCAAAAAATTCCCACACTTCATTTAAGAGTATGGAATTCCGTATTCCTCAGCCGTGGTTATGCAAGACATTATTGTGAGTGAAGCAACATGATGGTTTCTGGGTAGAAATACTCTTCTGTCAGCATGTGACTCCTTCCAGAAAGGTGCAGAGGGCAGGAATAAGCGAGCACATCTGCAGACCCAGGACCTGGGGGTTCCTGTATCTGCCACGTGGCACAAGCAGCTCCGCAGGGATATCAGGAGATGAAGCATCCTCATGGCAGGGCTCAGCCGGCCGTGTGTCCCCATGAGCTGCGCCACACAGCTGCTGGTCAGAGCACTGCCTCGTGCCAGCTCTGCTCATGGGTGCTAGGGACAGAGGGCTCAGCTGACTTGTGCTGCCAGACTTAGACATGAAACCCAAGAATAGGGCTCGAAATGAGTCCGCATACATTAAAAAAAGAAGTTTGTGCAGTCCAACATATGCACCAGAAAGCCTGTGGCATCTTCTAAAACTGGGCTTACCTTATACTTCTTTGTGCTGTTTGTTAAATCCAAGCTAGCTATGAGCCAGCTGTCTGATGGCTCCTTGGCTGACCACAGCAAACGATCAAAACTTTCCCCTTCCTGCCTCAGGTACAGGTTGAGCCTGGCAGGATCAGGTGAGGTGTCTAAAGTTGTTGCTATCTGATAGATCAGTCTGACACAGCTCCATTCCTCGGAGTAGAGATCAGGGCTGGAGAGCACTGCTTTCTCACCCTCGTAAGACGTATCCACAGAAATGTAATGTCCTGGGAACAGACACACACCAGAACAATAGATGTCAGAGGCTTTGCTTTGCATCCCTGGAGAAAGTACTTATTTAGGAAGGAATGGTAGTTCTGGGACTAGGTCAGGAGGCTGAGACCACCACTCCTCTGGTAAGTCACTTAACCTTTTGATATCCTGCTGTACTCACACAAATGCGACTTCACATATCTCCCAACATTTTTAAAAACAATTTTTAAATTATTGAAAATTTTGAGACAAGATATTTTATCAGTGTAAAGCAGATTACTAAGTAGTACCCTTTGGAACTGATAGCTGTAGATAGACATTTGATTGACAAGACAATTTGCACACAGAGAAATATTTTGCAGGAATATTCAGTTGTTTTATAGACTAAAACTTTTTATTTTCCTGTAGGTTTAAAAACAACATATAAAATGAGACATTGCAGCTAAAAACTCCCAAAGCACTTCTGGTTTCAAAGTATAAAACTAGGAAGACACTTCTAAGTAGTAAAATTGACATGTTCAAGTCTGCTGATTCATAAAACTGCAAAATGTAAAACAACATTTAAACATACCAGCAGTCCAAGATTATTTTAAAATTACTCTCTGGGGCAAGATCTAAAACAGCCTTCCATATAAAAATAAAAGGGTGCGATGACAAGGGAAAAGTGCATGAGGAGGCAAAAAAAGTGGAAAAGAAACAATGTGTAGGAAAATGAGGCAACAGTAAATAAATTATAGTGAAGCATAAGCATGGTCCTGGAAGCTCTACTAAGATATCAAAACCAAGATCAGAAGAGTAAAATGGACTACAGGAGTCACAGAAACCTGAAATGCAATGCTAGAAACATGTGTTACAAAAAATGAAAACTTAAAAATAAATTTTAAAAACACAAAACAAAACAGTAAGACAAACTACGACACCCAGGTCTGAAATGTTATTCCACAGATTATCAGGAAAATGATCCTTCTAACCTAATGTCAATGTACATTAGAGAAATTCCATTTCTGATACTAATTCTCCTCACCCAAGCTGCAAGTATGAGTTAAAAACTGCTGTCAGGGCCTGTATCCAATTAGCCCTTTACCCAGCAGCACATCACACTTTCCAGGGAATATACTTTTTCTTTAATTTCATCTCATTGGACCACAGAGCTTCTCAGTTTCCATGCATATGTAAATACTTGGATAACTCAGAAAAGCCAACAGCCACACATTGCTTGCCTTTGAGGCACAAAAATCCTCTCCCAAATCCTGCCTGAACCCTCCCACTCTACCAAGACACCCTTGGGTTGCTTCCCAGAAGCTCCCTTGTTGCCTTTTTAAAAGTATTCTCTCCAAAGGAAAAAAATCATCTGCATGGAGGGTCACTACCCCATCAAGGCAAAGCACATGTATAGATCTGCTAAATGAGGTTCCCAAAGTCCTCTCCCATAGACCGCCCCCCGCACCAGGGAAGATGCCAGGAGCAGACAGTCACTCTGATAACACCCGATCCTTTGGGAATTGCATGTTATAGCATCCCCCTGCTCCCTTTATCTGCTCCCTTTCTCACCCGCAGACACAGCAACACATTTGTACTGCACATTTTGTTTAACTGATGTAAGATAAGTGATTGCTAGGAGATAGCTGCAGCCCTAAGCAGTGTAAGGGGCTGTGCAAATACAGAAAAGCTGCATTCTCTTTCCCTTTTTAGGGAATGGAATTTTTTTTGCCTCTTATCATGATTTCTCTTTATATCTGCTGTCTGGTTTTAGTCTACTGGGGAAAGATACAAAATCACTGGTAAAGTACAAGTAACTTGTTACTGCAGCAGTATTTGAAAGAAAAATAAACACTGGAACAAATATTTAAAAATAGGCACCTAATGTGCATGCCAAATACTTAATCTGCCACTACGTTACAAGGGAGTCTGTTGCATCCACTTTCATGCATTAATCCAGTTAGCTCACCCAGGTTAGCACAGAAGGCATTTATTTGCTAGCATATGCCTGCCCAAGGTACACAAGTTTTTTCACAGGAAGATAGAGGGAAATCACTGAGACTCCATCAGAAGTCAAATGCTTCTTTCACATTTGGTTTTCATTGATGTAATTGATAATATCCTAATCAGATGAAGAATCTATGTTTTTAGGCTAGCCTGAACTTGGATCATTTTACTTACAAAGAAACCTACAATTTGGAATCCATGCCTGGCAATTTCAGTTTAGATTTCAGCCCTGTTTTGTCTGTACTTCAAGAGAAACCCCATAGAAAACAGATCCTTCTTATAATAGTAATCTTTTCTCTTTTTTTTTTTTTTCAGAAATAAATTCACATTGACATAGGAAAATACATTCACATGAAGACCTCAAATTACCAGCTGAGGCTTAAATGGCTGCCAGATTTTAAAACTTAATTGTATGTAGACTAAGGTTTCTTCTACAAAAATAGTGGTTTCAAAGAAAACTTCTTATGATTTCCAATTGGGATGATTATGTCAGTGTAAATTTGACTCTGCTGTCTGTGTGTTGTGCACTTGCTCCCACTTTTGTCTGATTCACCACAGGTACGAGAGCAAAGATCACGAACTCCCTTTTTAACTGGTGGTGGGGGTTGGTTGCTTTTTGTAAAAGGATTAATTTTACCTATTCATTAACTCTCCAGAAAAAGAGTACTCTCACTCCCAACCTAATAATTTCAGCTTCTTTTGAAAACTGAAATGTGTCATTGGCTCCATTGAAATCAATGTGAGCACTGATAGAGAGCTTTATGTGTAGGTTCAAATGCTTGGCTAATCAGGATCAGGGAGCGTGGCACTTGGCAGTACCAAGCACAGAAAATGCCAACATTCAATTTCTTCCAAATGAATGGCAGCATTGACTACATGGCCTTTACCCTAAACTGAACTTCAGTAACAGCAATGACATGCCACTGATGCAGAAAGGAAGGCCTCACAATGCAGACCTCAAGGACTGACACAGAGCAATTGTGACAGCAAAGCAGGGCGAAGGTGGGGGTCCTTGGAGTAGAGAAGCAGACAACTTTCCACACTTGTTTGTGGGAGTAATAGAAGGTTATTTTCCAGTCTGTGGACAATTTGATGAATGCATAGTGGTGTAGCCTCTCAAAAACAGAACATGGAGCTTGATTTTGCAGCACACCACAATCCTCCTGCAAATGCTCGTGACAGTTAATTTACAGCAGTCATTTTCAGGAGTTAGCAAGAGAGGGCTACTCTTCAAAATCACAGGAAAGCAGATGAGAGTAGTCACAAAACTCTAGGAAAATCCTGATGACACAGAAACACAAGCATGCAATTTCCAGCAATTACTTGCTCAGGGGGTAGATGCAGCCCTTAGCAGCCTAAGAGGCTGTGCAAGTACAGGAAAGCTGAACTTTCTTTGTCATTTTCTGAGTGACATGACTTCTTGAGCATCAAGGAAAGTGGCCTGGCAATTGCAGAGTCATCTCCCTCAGGACTCTGGGACACATCTCATCAGGTCCCATAGACTTATGTATGCTCAGGTTCCTCAGGGGATCCCAGCCTGATTCTTTCTTAGGGGATTCCAAACCTGATTCTTTCAAAGAGAGGCTGCCAGTGAGGGTTGATATTGTATTTGCCAGATGCCCCAATGAAGTAAGGAACAATGAATCTGACTCCATGTTCTCAGAAGGCTAATTTGTTATTTTATGATACTATATTTTATTAAAGAATACTATACTATACTATACTAAAGAATACAGAAAGGACACTTACAGAATGCTAAAAAGATAATAGTGAAACTCGTGACTGTCTCCAGAGTCCCGACACAGCTTGGCCCCAGTTGGCCACTGAGTCAAAACACTCACAGCAGAACCCAATGAAACAATCACCTGTGGGTAGAAAATCTCCAAATACATTCCAGAGGAGCAAAACACAGGAGAAGCAAATGAGATAAAATTGTTTTCATTTTTCTCTGAGGCTTCTCAGCTTCCCAGGAGAAAAATTCTGGGCAAAGGGATTTTTCAGAAAATATGAATGGGACAGGTTGAGGCAAAAAATTTTTGAGCACTTCTCATCCTAGTTACCAATTTGCCAGCCTTGCCCATCAAGGAGGCAAATGCTTTCTTTGACCTTCCTTTTCTGGCTGACACACCTACAGATGCTCTTTGTTTTGTTCTTTGTGACCTTTGTGAAATTCAGCTCCAGCTTTGCCTTTGCCTTCCTCACCCCATTCCTACACAACTGGGCGTCACTGTGACTATAGTCTTCCCTGGATACCTGTCCTTGCTTCCACTGACTCTGGATTTCTTTCTTGCCCTTTAGTTTGACCAGCAGGTCCTGACTAACCCATTCAAGTCTTTTGCCTTCTTTGTCTGAATATTTCCTCCTTTTGCTAGTTCTTGTGCTCTACAGAAAGCAACTTTAAAGATCTGCCAGACTTCTTTTGCTCCCTTGTCCCTCAGAGCAGTTTCCCAGAAGATCCTATTAACTACATCCTTGACAACCTGGAATTTTGCTTTCCTAAAATTCATTATTCTGGCTTTACTCTTTGCCTGACCCATATCCCTCAGGACTGCAAACTCCTTGAGTGCATGATCATTGCAGCCCAGGCTGCCTCTAATCTTGGCGGCCCAAATTTACTTGTGTGGGCAATCCGCGGGTCCAGTATCACACCCTCTCCGGTAGGGCTGTCTATAACCTGGCTTCAGAAGTTATCCTCTGTGCACTGCCAGAGTCTCCTGGACTGTCCACAGCTCACTGTGTTGCTTGCCCAGAGCTGAAGGCCCCTGGCCAGACAAGAGCCTGCAAGCACAATGCCTCTTGCAGCTGCAGCAAGAAAGCTTTGTCAGCAGGCTCCCCTTGGCTGAGCAGCCTGCAGAACATGAGCTTCTCTTTGCTGTCACAGTGTCTGATTCTTACCCACAGGCTTTCAACCTGCTCACGACTGCTCTTCAGAGACAGAACTTCACACTCAATCCACCTCCTGAAACAGAGGGCAACGCCTCCACCATTACTTTTCTGGAACAGCCTGTAGCCATCCATAGGTGCAATC